GCAATTTGGGAGTTTCCGAAAATTAGAGGTACCTTGTTTTGGGGTCCTTATAATGAGGATCCTACTATTTAGGGTACTATATTAGGGTCCCCTATTTTCTGAAACCCCCCATTTTTGGCTGTAAAGAGATGAGGAAGTCTCACATCCCTCAGCCGTAGTCGCATTGAGACTAGTTCCCTAAACCCTAAACCCTAAAACCCCTAAACCCCTAAACCCTAAACCCCTAAACCCTGAACCCGAAAGTTCCTAACACTCTCTGCTTCTGGCTGCGCCCGATGTGGTCCGATTGTCGCTATGCGGCCTTCCAGAATCTAAAGGAAGGTCACGCTTTGCGTGGCACCGGGTACGGCCCAGAGAGCCCAATACCCCTTAATTAAGGAATATACCTTAACTTATAGGGTTGAGGGTTGAGGGTTCAGGGTTCAGGGTTTAGGGCTTATAGGGGCCTTAATAATGTGGTCTAAGCTATATTCCTTAATTAAGGGGGTCTTGGGCTCTCTGGGGGTGCTTTCTTGGGTAAAGCCCTAAGGACGGGTTCAACATGAAGGAAGCTTTAGGACTTCCTACCTTTTTAGGGTTCCTTGTTATAGCTTCTTTGTATAAGTCCTACAAAAGGTAGGTTCTTTGGGGTTAAGGTAGAGTCTGGAATCTCGGATTAAGGTTCAGGGTAACAAAGCTGTAGAATGAACTTTTGCCAAAACGAACACCCAAAAACCCTGAACTCGTACTCCTTTTTATGAAAGCGTGTGTCCCTTAGGGGTGCCATTCGGCGGGCAAACATCCACCAACGATGTTTTCTGCAGTTGTCGGTTTAGGGTTCATCTCAACTGCCCAAAGCCCACCTTTGGAGGGTCTCAGTATGACTTCCTTGTACAAGTCAAAGTAGGTATTCAGCCCGAAGCCTCCGCAACCCTAGATTAGGAACGTAAACGAAGGGTTACGATTTAATGCAGGGGCCTTAATGATTAGAATAGGCTTCGGGGCCCAGTTAAACAAAACTTATCAACACTTATAATAAGGAACCCCCAAAATAGTATAGGTAATTATAGGCCCCTATATTAAGCTTTAGGGCTGAGATTCTATGAAACTGGTGAGCCGACAAGGGAGTTCGAATCATGATCAGACCACATCCACATTGACTCTCCCAGGTGCACTGCGCTTGCAGCACTGCAGGCTACGCCACGTTGAGTGAGATTTCGGAGCTCAAAGCATCTCGGTCACATGAGAAGAGTACTGCATCTGGGAGCCTTTTTGGTAGGGGCCCTGTTAACTGTTAGCTTGAAGCTGTTGAAATGCAATTTGGTCGTAACACTGTGTGTCTCGAGCTACATTACACCCCTGGATGTGTTGGCAGTTTGGCGGGGACAAGATTTCGGAGGGCAGGAACACGAGTCACGTCCCAACAAGGTAATTTCGAGAGGCGGAGACACACGGGACTGCGGCAAGAGTCGGGCTTTCGAGACAATGTGGACGAGGCTACTGACTACCACGCCTTCCATTTAGGCACATGGCTTTTCTGAGACTGAGAGTGAGTAAGTGTGTGTACGTGTGTATGTGTGTGTTTGTATGTGTGTCTGTAACTGCTTTGGGACTTTGACGCAAATTCTCACTCATCTGACGTCCAAAAACTGAAACTTGGACGCACTCACGGCAAGCTTCCACATACAGCAAACTCGCGACATTCCTGTACCTGGCCGAGTCCTTGACAATCTTCGACCGTCAACTGGCTGCACACATTTACCAGTAAAGAGTCTAAGTAAACCCCCAAGAATAGGTAAAATCATGGCCCAAAACCCATAAAAAGCTATGATTCCACATACTTTGGGGTCCAGGAACTGCCTGTTCCTACGTGCCGTTACAAGACCTTCGGCTTCAACCTTCGGAGTGCTTGCCGCGACCTGTGGCAATTGCCACAGCTTGCTCAAAGGAATCTACAGGTGGGGAGTTTAGGGTCTATAGGGCTTAGGCTTTAGGGCTTTAGGGCTTTAGGGTTTAGGGTTAGGTGGGGAGTTTAGGGTATATAGAGCTTCTATAAGGCTTCCATAGGTATATTGACCTTCTATAAGACTCCTATTAACGATAACTACCCACCTGAAAATGCCCTAGACTTGGTGGCCAAGACACCGAAGGCATTGGATCACTGGGGCCCTGGAGCCATAAACCCTAAACTTCCTAAACCTCTTAACCCCCCAAAGCCCTAAACTCTGAACCCCCAAAGCCCCAAAATCTCTAAACGCCTAACCCGAAAAAAACCCATAAACCCCGAAAGCCCTGAACGCCTAAATGTAGGGGCCTAAATAATTAACGAAACTATTTTGGGGGTTCCTCAGTTAGTAAATATACACCAAAACTGTTGATGCGTAAAGTCACCCTCAGGGTTGGAATAGGCTGTACTTCAGCCCTGGAAGGCTTCGTTTTTGTTGCTCGGTTCAAGGGTGGGCTACGCAGATGCCCCTTGAGCCACGACTGTAAATCACAAGTTTGAGTCATGACCATAAGGCATGAAGCCAGCATTGTACACCCCCTAGCTGGCAGCTTGCAGCCTGTGTGTTTGGTGAAAAAGTAACTCCGACCGCTTGTCAGCCGCCATGGATTCAGAACCCCCTTATGACCAACTAGCAGTGCCTGCTGTTCCAGCTGAAGATCATCAGGGTATGAGCCCAAGTACCGTGGTCGCAGCTGCCGCTACCGATCCTTCAGCAACTGGGGTGGTGGCACTACAGCAAGATGGACAAGGGGAAACAAGAAATGGTGCAATGGGGTCGGAGGTTGCGGTCAGGACAATGACCGTGGCCATGGCCACTTCGTCTCCTGGTGGGCAACCAGAGTGGACACAACAGGAAGCGGCGATGGTAGCACAAGCTGCTCAGGCGCGTGAGGCATATGCGGATGCCACGACAGTGGGCTATGAAGGCTTCCAGAATGCGGCTCAGGCCTCGTGGTCAGTTACGTCTACGAGGAGGAGCGTACCGGTCTGGATGCAAAGGCTAGGGGCGTTCTTTCAAGAAATGGGCGCCAGGCAGCAACCTGGTCCGTTGTGGACCCCCTCATCCATGGGAACACCGACTCCAGCGGTCCAGCGGGGCGGAGGGCCATGGGGTCGCCGGAAACTGATCCAGGTCCTCGAGGTCGCGCTGAGGATGGAGGTCAGTCTATGCTATGGACGAGAGAGCAGCAAGAGCAGCTGCGAAGAATGGAGCAGCGGGCGCCGTTGCTGTACGGGAGAGCCTCGCGCCAAGAGAGGCAAGATGGGAGCTCCGGTGGGAGTACCTATGAGGCAGTCCAAGACGAGGTTCGGAAGCAGCTACGAGGAGTGGTTGAGCAGCTGGAAGAGTCAAGAAGAGAGGCTGGTGACCTGAGAAGGGAAATGGAGAGACTGCAGTCAGAGAGGACGACGAAACCGCCGGAAGGACCGCCTGTTGCCTATGGGGGTTATCTTGCGGGCCAAGTTCTAACGATGCCGAGTAGGTCGTCTACATCGGCGGCACCACTCTTTCAAGCAGGAGCTTCTACATCGGCGGCACCACTCTTTCAAGCAGGAGCTTCTACCTCGGAGGCACCACTCTTTCAAGCAGGAGCCCCTACGTCGGAGGCACCACTCTTTCAAGCAAGAGCTACTACCTCGGAGGCACCACTCTTTCAAGCAGGAGCTTCTACATCGGCGGCACCCCTTGTTCAAGCAAGAGCTTCTACCACTATGACCCCTACAGTGGTACAACCAGGATCTTCTATGACAACGGCTCACGAAGCAGGAGCTACTACCTCGGAGGCACCACCCATGCAAGCAGGAGCTTCTACCTCGGCTGGCGGAGGAGGTGAAGGCGTGCCGGCGGATCCAATGAGCCGGCTGCTTGAGGGCCTTGAGAGGGTTATCAAGGGTGCAAAGCCTGAGGAGGTAACGAAGGCTGCGGCTGAGATCCCCAAGCTGCCGGAGGTAACAGAGACCAGTGCGGTGGACTTTGGAGATTGGCTCTACTGTGTTGAGAATGTTATGGGAGATCTTAGTGCAACGTCGGCGGAGTGGTGGAAGCACGTACTCGAAGACGCGACGGACTACTACAAAAGGTACCAAGAAGCGGACCAGTTCGGAAGGTTGGCTTTGAAACCTTCGCCCGGCACGGAGACGGCCGATGCTAAATGGGCAAGGGTCGACCGGCGAGCTGCGGGAGCCCTCTTGAATGCCATGCCGGAAGAGATAAAGAAAGACTTGGCGGCGTCGAGATCCCGCTCTACGTTGGATATTCTGGCGCGGTTGATGGTGGTGTACCGCCCTGGAAGTGCCACTGAGAAGTCGATGCTGTTGAGGAAGGTGGAGTTCCCAGAGCCAGCGGGAAACGCTCATGAGGCTGTGACAGGGCTGCGTCAATGGGGCAGGTTTTATCAGCGGGCGAAGGACCTAGGGCTAGCAACACCGGACTCTTCAATACTCCTCAAGTCCCTTGAAGGGTTAGTGAAACGTCCACTGGCAGAGCATAGCGACATCACGTTCCGGATGAACCTCATGAGATACCATCTTCGTGTCGACTTTGCTCCCACTGAGACGAGCGTCATGGCAATTCACCGGGCGTACCTGGCGGAGTTCGAGCAGCTAGGCTACAAGCGGGGCAAGCCGAAGGAAGACAACGCTGGAGTACAACAGCAGCCACGGCTACGAGCAGTGGAGGCCCCGCCTGGAACAACGCCGATGCCAATTACCAGCCCGAAGGGAACCGCAAAGCCGTGCAGGTTCCTCAGCTCAGATGAAGGATGCCGAAGGGGCAAGTCGTGTCGTTTCGAGCACCTGAAGTTGAGCAAGTCTGAAGGAAGAGATAGATGCTATGAATGCGGGGGAAAAGGCCACATGGCCAATGCATGCTCAACAGAAGGCTGTGTCCACGGGTGACTCACCTCAATCCTCAACTGGAGGGACGGGAGGGCGAAGAAACAACCCAAAGGGCGCAAGGACCGCAAATCCCGAGTCTAACAACACCGTGGAGGACTCATCAACTACTGCACCGACTATGACAACGCCAGGGGGTGAACAACCCGAGCAGCCGGTACAGGGTGTGCCAGTAGAGCAGCTTATCGAGGACGCTCAAAAGTTGATGAAGGCCTTCATGGAGCAGAAGGGTGGATCGCCTACGCTGAGGACCTTGCGAGTGGAAAGCAGTGGTTCCGAGAGGGAGATGGAGGATTCCCCACAGCTAAGGGAGCTCTTGAAAAACAATGAGGAGCTGACCAAGCTTTGCAAAATGGGACTCCTGGATTCAGGAGCCACGCACCCACTGAGACCGCGGGTGTCGAACGACTCAGTTGATGGTGTTGGAAGCGTCAATGTCACCTTGGCGGGGGAGAACAGGGTCAAGATGGACCAGACTAAGACGGGCGCCATACTGGGTGGCAAGGATGCGCAACCCATTGTACCTCTGGGTACTTTGGTAAAGTCACTGGGGTATGAGTTTGCATGGGATCGCAGAGGATGTAGACTGAAACACCCCACCAAGAAGGAGATCAAGGTCTACACCAGGTCTACGTGTCCAGAGATAATGCAGTGTGATGCCTTGAGGTTAATCGCGGAGTTGGAGCAGGCGAAGATCGATGAGACGATGGAGTCGTTGGCGCAACTCAAGGCGTCAGTAAGTGCTGTCAGGGATTACAAGGAGAGGAGCTGGAAGGACATGGTGCGAGACTATGTGGCTTCTGGTACAGTGGAGGATGCAACAAGGGCGGTCTTGGCAGCACCGTTCATGCACCATGCGCCTATGAATGGGCAATTGAAAATCCTACCAAAGTCCCCGGACAACGCGGACCAGGCCTGGGTGTGGATGAAGCAGTTCCCGCTCAATAGAGCTAACAGACGACAGTTATGGCAGTCCAGGGAGTGGATAGTTCATATGTTCTCTGGAAAGAGTGTACGAAATGATCCCCTACGAGATTTCCCCGGCCTGCTTGAAGTCGACCTACAGAAGGGGTGGAATCTCAACGACGAGAAGATCTACGGTGTGTTGGTGTGGGCCGCCCGTGAAGGGAGGATCAAGCATGTTTTCGGGGGCCCACCAGCAGGAACCTTTTCACCGATGAGGTACCAGAGGGACAACCATGCAGAGCTCAGACCGTTGAGGTCAGTGCACGAGCCGTGGGGACTCCGGGAAGGTCTAACTGTCGAGGAGTCCTCTAAGGTCTACAACGAGAACATGATGATGTACAAGATGTTGTGGCTGTGGCTTTGTGCCGAGGTCGCCAATGAGGACCGAGACGTTCCTGGGCATCAAGTGGGCTTTTGCATGGAGTACCCTGAGGACCCCAAGGAGTACTTGCCCGAGGGAAACCAGAAGGACACATGCGTATCGGTATGGCGCACGGAGCTGGTCCAGAAGTTTGCAAGCCTCATGGAGTTGGGCAAAGTGCAGTTCGAGCAAGGGGCCCTTGGCCACATGATGCGAAGGCCTACGTGTTGCCTCACAAACATGGGTTTGGGAATACATGGCCTCAGAGATTCGCGAGCCTTCATTAGCTCGGAAAGCGCGGAAGGTGATCAAACGGTTTGGCCACATGGTTTCAGGATCACGTTGGCGGACGCAATCCATGAGTGGGACAGAAGCGGAGGTCCAGCTTTACGCAAGGCCATGACCAAGCGGGAGCTGGAAGAGTGGAAGGCTCATGTTGAACGAGGACACTGGCCTTACAGAAGGGATTGCTCAGTGTGCCTAGCGGCGTCAGGCACAGGGCGACCAGCACGCCGTGTGGTGCATAGAGATGCCTACGTAATGAGCCTGGACATTGCAGGACCGTTCGCTGAGAAGGGAAAAGATGAAGTTCGTGGAGGGAAGTATAAGTTTGTCCTTGCGGCGACCTACCTCTTCCCAAAGATTCGAGAAGTTCCGGAAGATGCTCCAATCCCCGACGAGGACGAGGCCGAGAAGTTCCTGGAGGAGTTCGACGACGAACCCGGGGAACCAGAAGGAGAAGACGATCCGGAACTACAGGCTCAGGAGGAGGAATGGAAGAAAAAGATTGCCGACCTGAGAAAGCCAATGGAGCTACAGGCGTTGAGGTTCTGTATACCTTTGGAAAGACACACTGGCAAAGAGATTCTCGAATGCATTCAGGACTTGTATGTGAAGCTCCGGGCCTTAGGCTTGCCTTTGACTCGAATACACAGTGACAGAGCTCGGGAGTTCAGGGTGAAGCCGGTGCGAAAATGGTGCAGGGAGCGAGACATATACCAGACGTTCACAGAAGGCTTGGCGCCCACACAAAATGCGGCGGCGGAAAGTCATGTGAAGTGGCTTAAATCTCAAGCCAGGACTCACCTTGGCGCAGCGGAGCTGGACAAGGAGCTGTGGCCGTGTGCTATGAAGCATGCATGCCAGCTGCACAACGCGAGGCAGTTGGGACACAAGTCTCCGGAGATCAAGTTTGGCTCAGTGGTGTGGGTGAAGTCCAAGAAAGACCGAGGTCCGTTTGATCCAAAGTGGGAACGAGGAAAGTATATGGGCCCAGCGGATGATGTTCGAGAGGGACATGTGGTCCGCCTGGATGATGGACTCTGGCTTAGAACCTTGCATATGCGTACAGTCAGGGATGATGAAGTTGAGGATGAAGACGAAGCGGAGCATGTGATCGACCTCGTTGAGCCTACAAGGAGGATCAGAAGGAAGACTAAGCTACCGGATCCAGAGATACACAGTTTGAGAACAGACGCAAGAAGAGCGTTGGTGAACCGGCTACTCAAGTCAAAGATTTGGGAACATGAGGAAGCCCGGGTAGAGCGGCCGCAGATGAAAGAAGGACAAGTTTGGGAAGGAGCCGCGTATGTCAACCTGGGGGCCTACCAGCATGGTGGGATTACAAGCCTTACCAAGGCAACCGAGAAGTTCATGGAAGAGGCAGAGATTGCGGCGCAACTTATTGCCTTGGATCATCCAGGTAGGCCGTTCACGTCTATTGCCCTGGTGAAGAATGCGACAATGCCAGCGCACAAAGATGCATTTAATCTCAAGGGAACGATGAACCTGGTGTCGCCTGCAAAGGTGACTTCGAGAAGCAGTGTCTGGCAGGAGATGAAACCCGGGGATGAGTTCCACGGCAACTACCATGCAATGTGGGTTAATGGGAGGGAGGTGCCTGGCCAAAAGTTCAACATCGAAAAGCCAACGATGGTACGACCTGACCGGCTACATGCACCACTCAAGGGAGATCCAGGAGATCGTATCGTTGCTATCGGGTACAATGTGAGCAAGTGGGAGAAACTTCTGGATCATCAGTGTGAAGATCTACAGGAGCTAGGCTTCCAGCTGCCCACTAGACAGCCTGTGATCAAGATGATGAACGATAACAACAGAAGGCCACGACCCCCAACTCCACCTATTCCAGATTCACTACAAGCTTCGACCACTACTCCACCATCAGGAACTACGGCGGTGTTGGGAACAAGTGGTGTGGTCCCAGACTCTTCAAACGAATCTACGTTGCAAAGGCCGACCTCAGAAGATCGGATGCAGGTGAGCTCGGCAACGCCAGGCCCCTATAGTAACCAGACTTCGTCCTCGGGCTCGACGAACAGACCCCGAGAACATTTTCCGGAAATAGGCGGTGAAAGACTGGATAGTATGGTGGTGCCTGGTGGAAGAGTGGAGCTACGATTACGATGGGCTATCCGATTCTGTCCGGATCCTGGAGAACAGGAGGAGGCAATCATGACATCAATGCCTCTTCTTCCCCTTGGACATGAGGAGGAGCAACGGATGAGGAGTCGAGTGACGTGGTTGTCTGAGTTTGTGGAAGAAGAAAGACAAATTCGCATCAGACAAGCAGCACGAGGGGAATACCCTACGCAACGCGAAAGGCAGCTGTTCTACAAGTTGGACGATGCCATCGACTATATGAATGAGGTTCTGGCCTTGAGCCATCAGGCCCGCGAAGACGGAAATGTGAACCTCATGAGGCTTGCTGCAAACCCTGAAACTACTCAGGAGGTAGAGCAGATGTTGCAGAAGCTTACAGAGCCGATCGAGACGGTCCACAACGTGGAGTTGCAGGAGGTGAAGAACCACTTAAGCGAGTGGAAGGAAAGTATACGGAAGGAAGTGGAAGGGTTAATGTCTTCTGGAACTTTACGACCGGTGCCGCTTGCAGATGCGAGGAAAATGGCTCAAGCTGGGGAGATCGTCCTAGTTCCGGCCAAAACAGTGCATACGATTAAACCGCCGAATCAAGGCCAAGAGGGACTTTACAAGCGAAAGAGTCGCCTGGTTATCTGCGGCAACTATGTGAACAGCGACGTGGAGGTTTACACGGCCTCAGCTAATGCAGAGTCGGTCAGAGTTTCGCTCTCGTATGCAGCGCACAAGAGGTGGCATGGGGCAATCACGGACGTCAACTCAGCCTTTACACTTACTCCAATGGAAGAGTCCAAGGTCAAGTACGCGATTACGGTGCCCAAGGTGGTGGTCGACGCGGGCCACGCGCCACCGGACATCGCATACATGGTGGACCGAGTGTTGTATGGTCTGAGGGAGGCTCCGAGATTATGGGGGAGCTTCCGAGATCGACGAGTTGGCCGTGCAAGATTAAAGGTGGACAACCAGGACTGTATGTTCCTCCAGATGGAAACGGATCAAGCAGTTTGGCGACTGGTGACATGTGAAGATCCGACCAGTACGAAGGCCATCACGATCATCTACGTGGATGACGTGTTGATGCTTGGGCCAGAAGGTGTCGTTGGAGACATATACAAATGGCTCACGGAAGGCAATGAGGGCGAGGAAGGATGGAAGTGCTCGCCGATGGAGTGGCTTGGACGAGAACCAGTCAGATACCTGGGGATGGACGTGAGGAGAAGAGCAGTGGGAGATGTTACCAGCTTCCACATTTCGCAGGGAAGCTACGTGATGGAGCTCCTTAAGAGTTATCCCGAGGAAAGCAAACGTCCTTCTATGGTACCAGCCACTAAAGAAGTGATGCCATCGATTGATGACGATGAGGAGGAGCCAGTCCTCATGGCGATCGATCCGGAGATGGTAAAACAAGCTCAGAGAATGGCAGGGGAGCTACTGTGGCTCGTGACACGCACGAGGCCTGATGTGGGGTTCGCTACTGCACACGTATGTTCTACTGCCACAAAAGATCCACAAGCAGCCATTCGTCTGGCCAAGGTTGGGTCATGGAAGTGGAGGAAGGTGATGGAGTGGAGCCAGTGGTTCTGCGGGTGGATAATACGGCAGCATGTGGTCTGGCTACTACAGCACCTGGATCCTGGAAGACTCGACACTTGAAGGTGAAGGCAAGACACATTCGCCTGGAAACGGCCGAGGGAAGGATTAAGGTGGAGCACACCCCTGGAGATGTACAAGTTGCGGACATGGGAACAAAGCCAGTGCCAGCTTCTCGCCTGGAGGAGCTTAGGCGTTTATGGGGTATGTGCTCAGCAGAGGACTTTGAGGACGAAGATCGCAAGGTGATCCTCAGGAGTTTGGCAGGCCCGGACTACTACTACGACCTGATGAGAATGTTTGCGTGGTTGATGATGGTAGCAGGAACGCCTAAGGCCTCAGGCGCGGAGCTATACAACAAGAAGCCGATCGAGTATGATGGCAGCGTCGAGTTCTATGTGATCATTGCAATGGCAGGCATAGCATTATTGGGAATTTGGGAGCTGCTGAAGTGGATAGCGATGAGATGCTTTGGTGAAGACGAAACTACGCTGGCAAAGGCAAGGCGACTTATGAAGATCAGGAATCAGGCATCCAGAGCGTTACAAGAGGAGTTGGCATCTATGTCAAGCAGCTCAGCAGACCCTATGTATAACGAGCTGGAAGGGAAGCCAAAGCCGAAAGTGGCTACACCTACACCAGCCGCTGAAGTGGATCCACCAAAATTTCCCATGACCCCGATGCCTATGACAACTACAAGATCCACGATGAGGGTGGACGATGATCCAGATTTGAGAGCGGCACTGACGTCAGCACGCAATGGGGACTTCATAAGGCACCGTGGTGGCTTTATCATGTCGGAGTATGGGGACAAGCTGCATTTTGCGGAAGGCTGTCATGGACTTCGACACGCAAACAAATCGAAGCTAAAGCGTGTGCAAGTATGTCACTACTGCGACGTCAAGTTCCCGCACTTCTACAAGGTCACGAATGAGAATGTGCTCCCTGAGGGATGAGAGGCATCACGATGGCTTTTTACGGTGATCCCTCCAAAAGAGGAGGAGTGTTGATGCGTAAAGTCACCCTTAGGGTTGGAATAGGCTGTACTTCAGCCCTGGAAGGCTTCGTTTTTGTTGCTCGGTTCAAGGGTGAGCTACGCAGATGCCCCTTGAGCCACGACTGTAAATCACAAGTTTGAGTCATGACCATAAGGCATGAAGCCAGCATTGTACACCCCCTAGCTGGCAGCTTGCAGCCTGTGTGTTTGGTGAAAAAGTAACTCCGACCGCTTGTCAGCCGCCATGGATTCAGAACCCCCTTATGACCAACTAGCAGTGCCTGCTGTTCCAGCTGAAGAACATCAAAAACCCTATTCTAATTATTAAGGCTCCTATAGTAAACTTCAAAACCCCAAAACCCCAAAACTTTAAACACTAAACTTTAAACAATGAACTCTACAAGTATAGCAACTGGGATTATTAAGGCCCCTAATATTGAACCCTATCACAGATCCCTTTAAAGGAACCCTTTAAGGATCCTTTCAAAGGAACCCTATTTCAATTGTTAAGGCTCCTAAACTCTAAACCCTAAACCCTAAAACCCTAAACCCTAAAATCCCCTAAACCCTAAAATCCTAAACCCTAAACCCGACAACCCTAAACCCCAAAAACCTAAACCTCTAAAACCCTAAAACCGACTCCGTTTTAGGGTTTAGGGTTTACGGTGAGGGCATCGCACTGAGTTGGGATTCCGACAACCGGGACCTACTACATGTAGATCTTCTTGGCCCCACCTTAAACCCCAAATAACCTACCTTTCTAGGGATTTATGTAAGCGACTTATACTCAGGAGCCCTCGAAAGCTAGGCTTTGTAGAGCCCAGGTAATTTAAGGGCCTTCATAAGTAGAATGGGGTTTTGTGGCAACTATACTACAACTATAATTAATCAGGGAAACCCGCCAAAATAGTAGAGGTAATCAGTTAGGCACTGATGTTACCAAATACTACCCTAAACCCTAAACCCTAAACCCTAAGGAGCCTTGGACACCCTAGACCCTAAACCCTAACCCCCTAAACCCAAAACCCCTAAACCCCTAAACCCCTTAAAGCCCTGAAAGCCCTAAACCCGTAAACCCCTGAACCCCCCAAACCCTAAAATCCTTAAACCCCCAAAGCCCTAAACCCTAAACCCCTAAACCCCCTAAACCGAAAAATCCTAAACCCCTAAACCCCTAACCCCCTAAACCCCTAAACCCTAAACCCCTAAACCCTAAACCCCTAAACCCTTTAAGCCCTAACTCCCTAACCCCTAAACCCCCAAAGCCCTAAACCCTAAACCCCTAAATCCCTAAACTTCCAAGCCCTAAGCCGTATTACGCCCATGCCTTCGGATGCAAGGGCCCCGGTTTCTAGACCCGAGATCGGGGCTTTAAGGGTTTAGGGTTTAGGGTTTAGGGTTTAGGGTTTAGGGTTTAGGGCTTCGGACTGGTTGAGTTTCGTTTAGGGCTTTTAGGGCTTTAAGGGTTTTAGGGGTTTAGGGTGTTTCGGGTTTTTAGGGGTTTAGGGTGTTTCGGGTTTTTAGGGGTTTAGGGCTTTAGGGTTGTTTAGAGCTTTAAAGGTTTAGGGTTGTAGGGCTTTAAGGGGTTTAGGGTTCTAGGGTGTTTAGGGCTTTAGGGGTTGAGGGGGTTTAGGGTTTTAGGGTTTTTCGGGCTTTAGGGGTTCAGGATTTCAGGGTTTTTAGGGCTTCAGGGGTTTAGGGTTTTAGGGTTTTTTAGAGCTTTAGGTAGGGTTTTAGGGTCTAGGGTTTTAGGGTTTAGGGAGGCATGACCGCGTTTAGGCTAAACCCGGAACCTTAAACCTGATCTCTACCAGGGGTCTTGAGCTTCTCTTCCTCCCTGCGGGCGAAACTCCGCGCGCTTGCACTTAAACCCTAAGCCTCGAATCCCTAAACCCTAAACCCTAAACCCTGAATCCTAAACCCTAAACCCTAAACCCTGAATCCTAAACCCTAAGCCCTAAACCCTAAGCGGCCCGAAACCCAAATCCTTAAATCCCAAGCCCTAAATCCCAAGCTCTACAGTCCTATACCCTAAAATCCCAAGCCCTAAATTGTCCCTAAATCCTAAACCTAAAACCCCAAAACCCTAAAGCCTCAAACCCTAAAGCCCTAAAACCCTAAAACCCCAAAACCCTTAAACCCAGGCTTCTATAAGGTATATAGACCTTCTACAAGGCTCCTATAACGGCAGCTACCCACCTGAAAATGTCCTAGACCAAACCCTGAAACCCGCCTTCAGAGCCCCCCCCCACCCTAAACCCTAAAGCCTTAAACCCTAAAGCCCTCAACCCTAAAACCCAAAAAACCCTGAAACCCTAAACCCTAAAGCCCTAAAACCCAAAAACCCTTAAGAGCCCCAAAAACCCTGAAACCAACCTTCAGAGCCCCCAAAGCCCACGAAAAGCCCCCGGCGGGTCTCTCAGTTCCTCTGTACCGGCCACTTCTTCAGCACACTCTTCCGAGTGCCCATCTTCGCCTTGTAGCCTTCGGAGTCTCTGGGCTTAGGGTTTAGAGCTTAGGGTTTCGAAGTTAGGGTTTTAGGGTTTAGGGTTTAGAGCTTGGGGTTTCGAAGTTAGGGTTTTAGGGTTAAGGGAACCCTGCTAATTCGGGTAGGGTATTGGGGGGCATTATACTCGAATTATCAGAGGCGTTTGGGGCTTCGGACTTCGGGGTGGGAAGCTGGACTCGACACCTCCGGAGTATTGTTCCTGCATGTTGTCGTATACTATAGTATGTTATAGGTTTTGTCTAAACAGAATCTCGTACTATGTCAAAGTCTGATAAGCCTTGCTATGAGCCGTGAGCCCTCACTGATAGCTCTGGCAAGCAAACTCCTGAATGTAACCTCCCAAAAAACCCTAGTTCGCTTCCCATGCAACAGAATTTGGACGAACAGCACGCTCAAACGGGATGCGGGTTGAGTAATGTAATATTTATCATAACTCTTATCATTACATATCATTACAAAATTTACAATTATTGTCATAATACGTATTCTTGACAATTATATGCTCATGGGGATTATACCGAACACGAACCCTAAACCCCAAACCCTAAAACCCTAAAGCCTAAACCCTAAAACCCTAAAGCCCCAAACCTCAACACCGAACTTCAACAGCGAGACCTGCCTTGGGGCTTCGGCAACAGGGTGTACCTCTTTTCGTTCTTGGCCGGGATGTGAAAGCCTGGTCTGTGCGTGTGTCATGTTGGGCATGGGGGTGTCCCCCTAAACCTAAAACCCTAAACCCTAAACCCTAAGCCCTAAGCCCTAAGCCCTAAGCCCTAAGCGCTAAGCCCTAAACCCTAAGCCCTAAACACTATACCCTAAGCCCTAAACCCTAAACCCTGAAATTCGAGCCTTACCCTCAGGAGTTTCGGGTTTAGGGCTTAGAGGCCTTGTGGAGCAAGTGAAGTGGGGCCTTAAGAAAAAAGGATCTGGGCTCCTTTGAGGCTTCGTACAGGGGCCTTACTTATGGATATGAATAAGGATACGGTTCTGGGCTCCTGTATAGTCTAATTATACTAGGGAGCCCTGAGGATTTTCTTTGGTAATTTTCTTGGGAAATCAGTTGGACTTTTTTACATTACCGTACCCACAAAGCTTGTCTATTCATCAGTCAACCCTAAACCCTAAACCCTAAACCTTAAACCCTAAACCCTAACCCCTAAACGCGAGCTTTGCTTCGGCCCTGAAATCGACATCCAAGCAATTTCGGAGTCTTCTCTCGCCTTGTGGGCTCCGGCGATTCCATTGCCCAGTCTCCTATTTAAGGCTTAGGGGTTGAGAGTTTGGGGCTTTGGGGTCTTAGAGTTTAGGGCTTAGGGGTTTAGCGTTCAGGGCTTAGGGGTTTAGAGTTTTGGGCTTAGGGGTCTGAGTTTAGGGCTTCGGGGTTCAGAGTGTGGGGTGCTAGGGCTTCCAACCTTTAGGGTTTAGGGTTTAGGGTTCAGAGTTATACTGCCCCGGAAATGTGGAAAGTGAATTGTTCAACTGACCATGGCTGTCGTCGACAGGCAGGTTCATGGGTAGTTCTAAGTCGGGTGTCGGGGTTCCTTTTAAGGGTTCGTTTCAAGGGTTCTATAGGGTTTAGGGTTCAGGGGTAGTTATAAGTGGGGTCATAAGCCCCCAAACCCTGAACCCTAATTACTAAACCCTAAACCCTAAACCCTAAACCCTAATTACTAAACCCTAATTACTAAACCCTAAACCCTAAACCCGTTCAAGTCGGAAAAACCCTCGGCAACTGCAAACACAATTCCCCATGCCCTCAGCCCGAACACCCTGAACCCGACGGCACAGGGTTTAGGGCTTAGGGTTTAGGGTTTAGAGCCTTCATCATCAGAAGAAGGGCTTTTGGGGTACCATGGTGGACAACAATTGTTGCAGGGGGAGCTCTTAGGAAGAGTCTCACTCAATATGGGGTTTTCCGAAAAATTAGAGGTACCTTGTTTTGGGGTCCTTATAATAAGGATCCTACTATTTTCGGGTACTATGTTAGGGTCCCCTATTGTCGGAAACCCCCCATATGTCCGACCCCTCTTAGAGTCTTACAGTATGTCGAGGTCCGAGGAGTTGAGGGTTCGGGCTGAGGTGCTGGGACCCCAACAGCCCCAAAGGCCTACCAACCCTAAAGGCTTACTATAGGGGCCTTAATAATAAGAATAGGGGGGTTTGGGGATATATTATATACTATATTTATAATGAGGACCCCCCAAAATGATATAGTTAATTATTCATATATTGCAGAACCCTAAACCCTAAACCCTAAACCCAAAGAATACTACTATTTCGGGGGCTCCTTTTTATAATTTTAGTATAATATACCCCAAAACCCCATTCTAATTATTAAGGCCCCTACATTAGGCTTTTAGGGTTTGTATAGTATAACGGGCCCCCAAAACCCACAGGATCTGCATTCCAGGGGGCTGAACTTCTTGAGCTCTTCTTGCACGGGCTTCGGG